TAGGAAGCAACATATTTTAGGCTCACATTATATAGTGTTAAGACTTAATTAGTTAGAATGCTTTTGAGAACAAATGCAAGTCTAAGAACAAAAACAACAACAACACCTTATTGTGTCAGGCTACAAGTTGGTAGGAAATAAATGGCTAAAGAATGCAAAAAATAGCAATTATGAAACTGGTAAAAAGTAAAATTATGTCAGTATTCTGAGGCAGCTTGGTTTATATCCACCTTGCTTATTTCTGTCTTTGTCTTGAATAAAATAAGAAAAAAAAATAAAAATAAGAGAGAAAAAATGGGGAAAAATGGAAATAAGAGGGGGAAAAATGGAAATGGTCTTGGCCTGTCTCTTTCAGATCTTGAACCCCTATCTGTGCAACCCCAGGCCACTGATCTTCTAATCCAAGGGTGGGGAACTATGGCCCTTTTATGACTTGTTGACTTCAACTCCCAGATCTGCTCCTTTGAAGTAGGCATCTTCGAGACCGCCTGCTGCTACCGACGACCTCCCATCAATCCATGCGCTCCCACAGAGAGGGCCTCCTCAGGATGCCATCAGCCAAACAATGTAGGCTGGTGACCCCCAGGGGGAGAGCCTTCTCTGTGGGGGCACTTACCCTCTGGAATCAGTTGCCCCCAGAGATAAGGAGAATCCAAGACCTGGCTGTGCACCGTCCTGAGTCTTTAGGGAGAAGGGCGGTATATAAATTGAAATATATATATATATATATATATTTGTTTTCTCAGGTTTTCGCGGGTGTTTGTATGTAGGTCTTTGGTTATTCGGGTCTTCTCCCACGTAAAATTTTACGTGGGAGAAGAACCCCCACGCATGTACCTGCTTCCATGCATGCCCCCGCATAAGCCCCATTCCCACGCATGCATGTCAGAGACCCGAAGACCAGCTGACCGGCAGGAGTCGTGCATGCATGCGCGGCAGAGCGGAGCTGGGGTGACGGCTCGCGTGCCCACAGAGACGGCGCTGTGTGCCACCTCTGGCATGTGTGCCATAGGTTCGCCATCACTGTCCTAGGCTGACAGGGCTTGGAGCACATTAAGTTCCTAGAAGACATAATGTATATGCTTCAATTAAGCAATATTAACTCTACAGTTGTTACATTTTTCATGACATTTGTTTTTAAATATTATGTATGTGATGCAGAATTCAAAATACTGCACTAATCAATGGAAATTCAATGCAAAAATATTTTTAAATGTCATATTGAAGTTAGAGTTAGGGTATAATAACCCTAACTAACCCTAACATAATAGTGCAATTATGAAAAAGAGCTAGAATCAATAACTCAAAAATCAAAATAAGATCAAATCGTAATAAGGGAAGAAACTATAAAAATAATTTCCACACACATACAAAACAGAAATATAGTGGTTCTCAGTGGATGTTTGTAAGTTCCAAAATGTGGAGCATTTTCTACTATATAGGATGCAAATCTCATCTACTGTGAGCCCTGGTTGGGCTTCAAAAATTTTAGCAAGGGTTTCTCTGCCCAGTTCCTGAGTGGGCATGGCCATGGTGGGCGTGGCCTAGTTGGCCTCCTGCATCATGGTGGGAGGCATTTTTGCCCTCCCTGGGCTCCGGAGGCTTTCCTCGAGCCTTTGGGTGGGCGAAAATGGCCTCCCCAGGCTCCGAAGGCCCTCGGGAGGCCAGAAATGAGCCCGTTTTCTGCTTTCCTGAACTTCTGGTAGGCCCGTTTTTCACTCTCCCCGAGCCTCTGCGCGCATCTTGCACTTACCTGCATCTAAAATGGGCCATGTGGGAATTCCTGGGAGGGGCAGGACAGGGTGGGTGGGGCCAGCCAGGAGTAGGATTTGGGGGTTCTCCGAACGGCACAGAATCTTAGCTAGAGGTTCTCCCGAACCCCTGCAAACCTCCAGCAGCCCACCCCTGCTGTGAGCCCAAGGGATTAAATTGTTGGGAGCTTTGGTGTCTAGCTGCTCCTGGAAAATACCATGTCCATCTACAATACAGATGTTTATAATCTAGTGATGGTAAACTGTACAGATTTGGTATGGATCGTTGAGATCTACTTAGGTGGAGGTAGAAAAATAGCACTGCCTGAAATCATTCTGGTTGGGTTTAAGGTCCTGTAATTACTGGTTTGGGAGTTGAAATCCACAAGTCATAAAGGGACCCCAGTTCCCCACCTCTGCTCTAACAATTGAACTGGACTGATTCTTTAAGTATCACATTACAGTATTACAACACTGCAGAATTGTTTGTTATAAATCAGCCAGCCAGGAATTTTTTTTTGGTGTTCCTTTGCATCCCGTTTCTGCCTCATATTCTCCACCAACAATCCAGCCAGCATTCTTGCCTTGAACTCTAATGGGAAGATTTGATTTGACATTATTTTATTTTATTATTTTATTTTATTGTTTATTTTATTTTATTTTAATTTAATTTTTGGTTTATTGCTTTGCAAACCTCAGGAGGTTTTCTATTTATTTTTTATTTTATTAATAATCTCCCTCTTATGTATGGATAGCACCATATGGATCCACACTGGGAGACTGAATTTGCTATTACCACATAGCATGATTATATCCTGTTCTTATAATTGAAACCTCCTGGAAGTATTCTAAGCCTTGGTTTGTACAAAGCAATTCTGACTCAGTATCATGCCTTCAGTTCACTAATACATCAGGTTCATCCCCGTTTCCCCCAAATGGGATAGGAAGGAAGGGTGGTTTTCCACTCTTTTTAGCATATATGAACTTGGCTTAACATTAATTCTTCTACCTATCCTTTTCACTGACTTTTATTGAAATGCTGCATGCATCAGTTGGCATATGTAACAGCTGGAAAAAAGCAGACAGGGGCTATCACAAGGGCAGAAATGCTCATTAGTTTTAAGCGTTAAAAGAAATCGTTTTTCAAAGTGCTACTGAAGCTAAACAGTTGGGTTATCCATCTAAATAACATCAAGTTTGTGTATTTTCTTCCTGGGTTTTGAAAATCAGGAGGCCTGGGGGAACAATTATTCCAAAAATGGGCTCCTAGAAGAAGTTCAGACAAAAACTACAGATTGTTTCTGTGTTGCAAGAATGACCCAGGTAAGTTTTCCCACGGAATTTATACACGCGTACAGATGCACAAAGCCCTCTGTCTCACTTTCCTCTACTTCCCCCATTTTCCCTGTGCCTTTATGCTTGAAGATTCAGGCATCATTTGAATGGAAAGCTATTAGCTCTGCCTCGTCACCCCATTTCCAGGGCACTAATAACTCATGCCATGCTCTTTTTCTCACATGCTGCCTGTCGGCTTTAATAGCTTGACAGATCTGGCAATTTGGCTTGTTCCTCGGCATGCTGATTCAGGCACAAAGTTTTAATAATTAGTCACATAAATATAAGTCCCTGCACACAAGCACTTCCTTCGTGAGCAAGACTCTCTGCTGGTTTGGATATTAGTGGAGCTTTGTATGAAGATGATCAAATTAGGGAGAATGTGAGGCTGTTGCAAGAGGCGAACTAACACATTCTTGTGAGCCAAGAAAATGGCAGAACAGGAGTACTGAAGAAGTAATTAAGACAACTTGCAAAGTTACATGCACATTACATGAATCTACTGCAGTAGAGCAGATCTCTACTGTGTAGTAGTAATATGGAAATACAGGATGTATGGAAGATATTCGTCTTAAGGAAATGGCTATGGCTTTATTTAAAACAATGGTGCTTTGCACACAGAACAAGGCAATTCATGATATTGCCAGATAAAACAGCTCTGATTGGAAGACTGGAGACATTTGCTGGAACTTCAAATTCTTCTGTCAGGAGACAAAAATGTTTCAGAAAGGCTGAAACTGACTGAGTTTATTAGTATCACCTTATTCATTCAAAGTCAATTCATCTTGCGATGGGGCTGATCCTTTCCTGTGTTATAGCCTGTCAGGAATTCATATTTCAGTACAGCATGGTTGCCAGATTCAGGACTGAACTTAAATAAAACCCTGAATTCTTTTGAAATGAGAACATTAGAAACATTTTCTCAAAAACTAAATTCTGAACAATGCCTTCTATCACTTTCTCTATGCAGTTCTTCAGTTAGGGTTTGCAATCAACAGTAGTTCCCTCAAGGACTATGAAAAACAATGGACTTATTTAACTACTACAGTATGCAGGTTTATATAAATTACAGTAAGTTCTTACTGGGCTACAGGTAGTCCTCATTTAAAGACAATTTACAGTTATGATGGACCCCCCCCAATGGTACTTATGACCCAGTTCCAGAGTTGACAGAGGTACCCTATCCCCCCCAAAGTGGCACCCCCATTTTATCTTTTATAGTATCATTGTGATACACATCGCAAATGTGCTTTTTCAAAAGGCAACTGAATTATGTCTTTTCCTTGAGGAAGAAGATGTTTCACTTCCAAGAAGCTTCTTCAGTTGTCAGAACTAAAGAAACTTCTTGGATGAGAAGCGAAACGTCTTCTTCCTCAAGGAAAAGACACAGACCAGTTGCCTTTTGAAAAAGTACATTGAGATGACCATGATCTAGATGACTGAGAATCTCCATAGGCATTGTGATACATGGTTTTCTGTTTAGTTATGAGCCACCCAGTCACCTTTAGTGATATGATATGAATTTATATAGTTACATAAATTTAATAGATAGATAGACAGACAGACACACAGATAGATAGATACCTTCATTTTGTAGTGAATTGATTTAGACTGCTAACAAACGAACAAATGTACCTGGAATTACTCTAGTAAGTGAGGTGACTTACAAATGGATCTCTCTTTTACATTCTCAAATATATAGGACTGAATTCAAAATTTGTATTCAACAGACTTCTACTGAAGAAAAAAAAGTGGGTGGCAATTTCTCCTGATTTTCAATGCAAGCCTCAGTGCTGCCTTCCATGCAGTTGTGATAAAAACAGAAACCCCAAATTCTAGCTCTACAGTATTGCCTCCTAATCCTCATCACAGATGAAATATTTTGGACTGAGTTCACATTCTGTCTTTTCTTACCTGAGTGTTGATTCGGATAGCGCCAATGGAAGGAATTTCAAAATAATAACCTTAAAAAAAACACACACACAAAATTAATGTTAGAATTTTTTTAGCATCATCTTTTGAACTGGTTTTCAGGACAAAATCCTCTTTTTAATCCATTATTAGGCACACTTGATGGAGGCTACAATGAGTTAACTAAGCTCAAGTTCACTAAATTTTGATTGCACCATTCCCAAACAGCTTCCTATCCAAGATCCAGAAGTTCTATTAAAATAAGCCAATACAATCATCATGTTTAAGGAGGGCCTTGAGCCATTAGTTTGGTTGGATTCAACTCAGCTGACCTGGTTTGGCACCATCTCCTACTTCTTTAACTTGACAGGTGATGTGTAAGAGCATCTTCTCCTCTTCTGCCTCACCACTAATTGCCAGCAGTCACTGGCTTCTTTCAGACACCTGACTGGGTGGCAACATTCATTGGATGTGATGGACCACCCAAGCAGATGCCTAATCCAGGCCACCCAGAGCAAGCAGATAGAGTGGACCCATCAAAATAGAACCAACTCCATTCCAGCAATCAACTAATTAATACCTCCAGTAAACTTCCAATGTCCAACTTCCCCAAGTTCAAATTCTACACAGGCTACAAATACTGCATAGCATCCATCTCTCCTGCTGATGAAGATTTGCTAGTATGTGGGGTGAATCATCTGCAACTCTCCCCCAATCAATACTTTTTAATATTGATCTCCAAAAGCCTGTAAAACCTGAACATGAATTTACATAGTCTTCATGTGCACACATAGGGGGTACACAGAAAACACACAGGGAAAGAGATATCGAAGCTGAATTCCCATATCTTCTGACGTAAGATTCACTTCCAAATCTAAGCTAAGGCAGGTGGAAGCCCATTTTTAAACATTTCTATTTCAGTTTTAGTTGCTTGAATAAACATATTTTCAGTGATCAAGTACATTCTTCTCATATGTAGAAGAAGTCTGATACTTTACATTCTTCTTTTTTCATCTATCCATAAGCACAAGAAAAATTTATCCCTGTTCTTAAGAGTTTTGAATCTAAATTTCAGCAGAAAAGAAACTACAAAGGTGCCTAGACATTGTAGGAGGAGAGCTTGGTGGGAAAAATCAGGAATCCTGCAGCCCATTTCCAACTAACAAATGTTACTGGAAGACATAAGCTGTTTTTGCACTTCAGCTTTCTTCATCAGATTATATAAACTAGTGTAGGATTTAAATTGGGTTAAGGTGGAAAGAGGGAGGGGAAGACAGTTTGTTTATATGGATGCAGGTAGAACATGGGACAAATTACAAATACCTTATTAACTAACAATTGTATTATAACAAATAATACAACAGTTACAATAAATAGCAATTAAGACAGGGGTGTCAAACTCAAGGCCTGCGTGCCGGATTCGGCCCATGGGGTGCTTAGATCCAGCCCACGGAGCAAGCCTGGAAACAGCAAAGGACCACATGCACCCGTTTTCAGCCGCAACGGCCACCTGCAGCCCTCTGCAGCAAAAATGGGCTCTGTTTTTGATGGCAGAGGGCTATCAAAATAAATTAAAAACAAAAGGAGAAATGTTTCCCCTTTTCCATTTGACCATGCAAGAAGGGACAGGAAAGGAGAAAGGGAGAGAGGAAAGACAAAGAAAAAGAAGGAAAGATGGGAAGAGAGCAAGGAAGGAAAAATAAGGAAAGAGGGGAAGGAAGAAAAAAGGAGAATGAAGAGGGAAGGAAAAAGAAGAAAAGGATGGATGGAAGGAAGGAAGGAAGGAAGATTATAATGAGAGTGAGTGAGGGTCTTAGAGAAGTCCTGCATTAGGACTTGGCCACCACAGGTGTCCCTGGCATGAGTCCCATGTCATGCCCACCACTGGCCACGCCCACCACTGGTCACACCCACCATGGCATGCCTACCCCCTCCCCCGGCCCTCCGAGGTCAAACACAACCCTGATGCAGTCCTCAATGAAATTGAGTTTGACACCCCTGAGTTAAGAGGTAGACAGTTTCCCTCTCTATAAATTCTTGAATTTTTTTTTTACGGCCAAGCAAAAACATTTAAATTTACTTAGTGCATGGAGTGAGAGTACTAGCAATTAATTGGGAGGTGTGAAGAGGAGGTGAGGTAACTTGTGTTATTCCATGAGATATAGTGGTCTGGACACTAGGACATTTTAAGCTGATCTTCAGGGTAAGGAAACTATTAAGAGAAGTAGGAACTCTTCAGAGGAAGGCAGGAGCAACCCATTAAGGAAGGATTTGGAGAAGAGATTACAGGGTTCAGGGATGGAAAGAAACATAAGAAAGAAACACAGAATAATCCTGCCTGATTTAATTACAATACTGGATAAAGAGAAACTTGAGCAAGCTTTGGAGATTCTATTAATATACCCTACAACAGTGATGGCTAACCTTTTTGCCATCGCATGCCAGGAAGGGGGGGGGAGCAGGGGAGGTTCGGACACGTGCGTGCCCACACCCCATAATTCTATGCGCCCCACCCCACGCATGACCCCCTCTCCCCCGCTCCTGGCACGTGATGGCCCAGTAGGCCCGTTTTTCTTTCTCACCTGGCTCCAGATCCTCTCTATGCATCTGGAGAAGCTGTCAGAAGCCCTCTGGAGGTCAGAAAAGGCCCACTTCCCAACTTCCAGTTGGACAGGAAGTGACTTTTTTGCTGTCCCCAGCCTCCAAAGACTCCTAGAGAGGGGTGGGGAAGGCTGTTTTTTCCCTCCCCAGGTGCACAGAGAGGATCTGGAGCCAGGTGAGAAAGAAAAACGGGCTCCCCCCCCCAGGCATTCCAGACTTCCCTACTTCTGGTGAGCCCAGAAGGCCCAAAAATCAGCTGGCCGGCGCACACTGGAACTGAGCTGGCGTGCCAGGTGACATGGCTCTGCGTGCCACCTGTGGCACGTGTGGCATAGGTTCGCCATCACGGCCCTACAATAATAAATTAATATTCCTGGAATCCCTGCAGGTCTGTACCTTCGCCTGGCCTATCTCAAAGACCTGATGGGTCCGGATTGAATGAAGGTTTGTTTATGTGGGCTCCAATTCGTCAGTTGGAGAGAGTATTGATTGGCTCAATGCCTTTTGATTTTAAGAGCAGCAGAAGTGAAGATGATCAGCAGATCTGCTTTGAACAGTTTTGGAGGGACTTGGGAATGGAAATGGTGTTTTATGGAAATGCTCTGCCTTCTTTTTAAAATAAATTTGAATATTGACAAAAAACAACAATTCTCTCCGGGTTTTTTTTGTACCCAAAAATGCCTTTCCTGGAAAGTTGTTATGATGTAGCTGGGAACAATGGAAACAGCAATCATTATAGTATGGAGTAGTGTAAAGTGAATATGATCATGGAGACCCAGCTTTAAGTCTGCTCTGAGCCTTAGTGCTTTACTGGGTGATTTTGGGTCAGTCACTCTGTCACCCCGCTCTACCCCACAGGATTGTGGTTGTGGAGAAGAATCACTATTGATGGTGCCTTGAGTTGCTAAGGCAAAGATGGGAAATACATACCTAACAAATAACTCTGCACATCTGTGGGTCTGTTTGGTATATAGACGTATTGGGAGTTCTAATCCTGTCTTAGATATTAACCCAGCTGGATTACCTTGGGCCAGTCACTCTATCTCAGCCCTTGGAAGGAGATAATGACAAACCTCTTCCAAAATCCTGGCAAGAAAACTGCAAGGACTAATCCGAGCAGTTTCCAGGAGTCAAGACTGACTCAAATGCACACATAATCTAAATCTAAATCTGAATCTGATTGTAACAACAACAACAAAAACAACAACAACAATCATCATCATCATTGTCATCATCATCATCATCAAAGCACTATATGGCCAGTACATTAAAAAACTAGCAGGGAAAGTAGATAATAACAAGACCTGGCAATGGCTAAGAGCAGGAAAGTTAAAGAAAGAGACTGCATGATTAATTCTGGCTGCACAAGACCAAGACTTAGGGACAAATGTATACAAAGCCAGAATTGAGAAGACAGCAACAGAGAGTAAGTGCCGCCTATGCAAAGAAGCTGAAGAAACAGTGGACCACCTGGTAAACTGCTGCAAGAAGATTGCACAAACTGACTACAAGCAGCAGCATGACAAAGTAGCAACAATAGTGCATTGGAAGATCTGCAAGAAATATCATTTGCCTGTAAGCAAGAATTGGTTGGACCATAAAATAGAAAACATCATACAAAATGAAGAAGTTAAATTGCTCTGGGACTTCAGAATCCAGACAGACAGGCACCTGCCACATAACACCCCGGACTTAACAGTTGTCGATAAGAAAGACAAAAAAGTCTGGATAGTGGATGTGGCAGTGCCTGGAGACAGAAGAATAGAAGATAAATAACTGGAGAAGATAACAAAATAGAAAGACCTTCAAATAGAAATAGAATGACTATGGCAAAGGCAAGCAAGAGTAGTACCAATAGTAATAGGCGCCTTGGGTGCAATCCCAAAACAACTGGAGCACCACTAGAACACCATAGGCATTGACAAATTTGCCATAGAGTCAATTGCAGAAGGCGGCTTTACATAGAATAGCTTCCATCCTGCAACGATATCTATAACACCGTCATACATCCATAAAAAAAATCACAAAGTACCGGGACTTGCAAATTGAAGTTGAGCGACTGTGGAAAAAGAAATTGTGTGTTGTCCCGATTGTAATTGGAGCCCTTGGAGCAATACCCAAAGGGCTACCCCGCTATTTAGAAATTCTAAATTTACCGGACTTGAACATTTTGACTCTACAAAAAACCAACTTACTCGGAACAGCTTACATCCTCCGACAATACCTTAACAGTTCCTAGGTCCTTGGTTAGGACTCGAGCTGCTGACCTATTAACCAGCCTCAAAGGCTGTAAATCTCACTAAAGATTAAATAATAATAATAATAATAATAATAATAATAATAATAATGATGATGATGATGATGATGATGATGGCCTCAAAGCCATGCCTGTTTCTCTAGCACCTGTACATCCATCAGGCCTATTTGCTCTGATCTCTTCCCAGTCCAACTC